TAAAAAAATACAACTATAATATTTTTTACACATTTGGGACACTCTGTATCTTGTAAAAATATTTTTAAATTGTAGCTCTAATAGTCCTTCAACGAACCCAAAACTTACAATTTGTAAAAATCTAATCGTTTAGTTACAATACTCCGTGTCGTATGTGGTGAACAACCCTCTATAGTCATTATTTAGAATAAGGGGTTAAGAAAACTCTATAAGATATTAAGAAATTTAAAAAATATGTACCTACGATATTAAGAAATTTAAAAAAGAATAACCTTAACTGAACCTTGCATTATATCAGTTTTTAAGATGCAATTGAAAGCTTATTTCCTTTCTTTCTGTAAGTTTGGCTTTCTAAACCTGTACTTAACAGAAAATACCTACTAAAACTTTTTAACTCTCTTTGTAGTGTAAGACAGGTTAAGCTGTGGGTATTATCAATGCATCGACAACGGCATTTTAATTAACTGAATGGAAAACTGACAATAATAGATTGAATTGTGACACACAGTGTATTATTGTAACGCTCGTTTAGCTTATGTAATTGCTAGTAGTAGGTCCATAAAGCGAAACCCCTATAGAGTCGTAATTACTGTGGAGAGTTCGGTTAGTCGATTACTTGGCAATTAATAACACAATTAACTGTTTAATTGAGGTAATTGTTAATAATCAAGTGTTTTTGAAACGTATGTCTTATTCAAAATACATAATTCTCTAATATGTTTAATGGAATGATGAACTATGTAACTTAAATATGAATCTTTATCTATTGATCCTTTACATTTTAGTGTTTATTCAGAGATAAGAAAAGATCAAAAGCGATTGGGCATTTAATATGAAAAGGAAAAACGGGCAAGACTATAAGGATTTTACGGTAAAAACTATTTGGAATGTAACAGCCAAGCTATTAATGGAAAAATACCAAAAAATTATAATATTAAATTTAATCCTTTTCTCTCTCTTCAGTCCTGACCCCCATTAGGGAGTGTAGTGGTCAGCGTAACATCATGGATGATTTTTCTCCATACGCCTCTGTCTTTTGTCATCTCGATGACATCGTGCATTGGCTTGCTACAGCTAGTCGTGATCTGGTTTATCCATCGAGTTGGAGAGCGGCCACGTGGTCTACGTCCCTCCACCTTGCCTTGAATTATGAGTCTTTCCATATTGTCCGGACTTCACAACCAAAATATTTTAGTTGTTTTAGTCGGATTTGACAGGAAAGCCTGTTAGTAATATTAAGTTCATTTATAATGGAAACGTTTGTACGGTGTTCAGTCCATGGGATACGGAGCATACGTCTATAACAATACATCTCGGTAGCATCGATCTTCTTACGTTCCGCCTGCCTGAGAGTCCACGATTCGCAGCCATACGTCAATATTGGGAGTACCAAACAGTTGACTAGCCGGTTTTTGGTGGCTCTTGATATCTGGCGGTCTTTCCAGATCTTGGTCAGTCTCCCAACAGCTACCTTTGCCATGTTGCACCTACGCTTCACCTCTTCTTCCGATGTGCCTGTATTTGTCAATAGTGATCCCAGGTATACGTATGACTTAACGACTTCAAAGCGGTCGATATGACTTATATTTGGATGGTTGTTATGTTGCCTATCAACTATCATAATTTTGGTTTTTTGCGTATTTAGTTCCAGACCGAGCCGATTGCTTTCGTTTTCTACCCTATTTACTAAATTGATTAACTCTTCTTGACTGTTAGCGAGTAGTGCTGTATCATCTGCAAAGCGTAGATTATTTATTTTTTGGCCATTTATTGAAATGCCTCCTTCCCATGTTTCTAGCGACCTTCCCATTATGTATTCTCCGTATATGTTAAATAGTTGAGGACACAATATACACCCCTGTCTGACTCCTTGTTCGAGGGAAAATTCCTTTGAAGCTGAATCCAGTATTCTAACTGATCCTGTAGTGTGCTGATACCACTGAATGATAAGTGAAATAAGGTGTTGCGGTACCCCCACTTCCTTTAAGATTTCCCACAGGTGATGCCATCTGACTTTATCGAAAGCTTTTTTATAGTCTACGAAACAAATATAAAGAGGGATGTAGAATTCCCTTGCTTTCTCTATGATTTGGCGCATATTCAGAAGATGTTCCCGAGTGCCTCTGCCCTTGGTGAAACCTGCTTGTTCTGCTGGAATTTCTCTTTCTAGAAAAACTTTCAGTCTTTCATTTATAATTTGCAACATTACTTTACTGGCATGTGAGATGAGGGAAATTGTACGATAGTTGCTGCACTTATGTATGCTCCCTTTCTTGTGGAGAGTGACAATGGTGGAGTGTGTCCAGTCGTCGGGCCATTCTCCTGGTCCTTTTACTGACACCGAATTTAAAATATCCCGGGAGGCAAAAAGTGCCACAAGGAAGGAATTGCAGATGGACCCTCTAAAAAGAAAAGAAAGCTCTAAGGCACTCAAATACGAAGAATTCAAATTGATGGTACGAAATTGTAATGAAGAATGTCCCGATGGTTGGCAAAAAAAATATTTTTGTATTATCCTAAGAATTGGCATAGCGAGGAGGAGAGGGAGGAAAATGTTTGGTTTCCTATTTTAAAGATGATATTGATAATATAGGACAACCCACCGCACCGGTTGCATTGAATACAACCCGATATTCGATAATACCATTCAAGGAGGAAATAAACCTTGTGCTTCGTCAAAATGGCTGGTCATAAATAGAAGTCAACCGGATATATGTCCAGCAAAGCTATTCAAAAAATTTATGAAAAAAAGAAAATTAATCAATGTTCCAAGATTGTTTTTAACTGTAAATCCTTCCTGGAAAATGGGTAAATGTTTCCTTTTGAGAAAAATACGATTGCTCAATAGGTGTCTATCGAAGCGAAAAAATCAGGTTTGGCTACGAAGAAAGTAAACATTACTAACCATTCGCCACGTGCAACAGCTGTGTCGACACTAGCAAAGAAGGAGGTTAAGGAGAACACAATGGTCAAAATAACTGAGCACGCAAACCCGACGTCAATTAAACCTTACCCATACAGGAGCCCCCGTAGTTTGACAACGGGGTTAAGAGTGGCCCAGTCGCGGGAAGCCAGACTTCGCCCCACCAAGATTGGTCCAAAGCTAGGTAGTTCAGGCTTGGCCAATCCTACGTTCACCCTATATTGGGCCACGGCTGGGAAATCAAGTCTTAGCCATCTCTTAATTCATCCAACTTTGGTCCAACACTGGGAATCTCAGCTCCGGCCATGCTACGGCGACCAAGCTTTGAACCAGAATTGGTTAACCAAGCCTGGACCATTTTTTGGTAATTTAGACTTGGTCCAATACTGGGAAATCGAGTATTGCCCGTCTCTTAATTCACCCAGCTTTGGCCCCACACTGGGAATCTCAGGTCTGGCTATGCTACGGCGACCCAGCTTTGAACCGGAGTTAGTCACCTAAGCCTGGGTCATTTTTTTGTGATTTAGACTTGGTCCAATACTGGAAAATCGAGTCTTGGCCAATCAGTTGATTTCTATTTTGTGGTTGACAAGCTTTAAACAGAAAATTTGCACATAAAGCAGGTGTACGGCTGTTAAATGCTTTTCTCAAATCTAATCTAAATATATGATTATATGAATATAATTATTTGTGTGCTAACTTTATTCCAAATAATGGGTTCAAAAACAATTGTTTTTTTGATGCTGGATCAAATTCGACAATTAAACTCTCGACGATCAAACATGGCTTGGTCTTGGCATTCAAGTCAGGCCCAGGCTTGACGATCAATGATGGCCTAACGTCGGATTCTAAGCCTAGTCTGATGTTTTAATTCGACAACCACAATAGCACCACAGTAATAGTACCACATAACCACAGAGATAAGGGCCAAAACTAGTATACAAATATGGCCCAGTATTGGTGATCAAACTTGGCCTAGTCTTGGGGATCAAAATTGGCCTAGTGTTGGTGATTAAGTTTGGCTCAACTCTGGTAATCAAGCATGGCCCAGCCTTGGTGATTTAGCTTGTCCCAATTTTGACAACCAAGCCTGGCACGATGTTATCATTCCAGGCTATTCCCAAAGCTGGGCCAGGTCTGGTATGCATAGTTGGCCCAGATCTTTACAGTACTGAACCAGTCCTGTACCAAGACTGGGCCGATGGTTTGATCCTATATGGGTTACCTTCAACTCGATGATGAACATCATGCAAATTTGGTAGAAAAAATGAGAGACAAGGAATCTGCTACAAGTTCTAATAATAATACTAATGTTTTTTTGTACCTACTATAGGTTCTTTTAATTTCAATTCAAATTCAGCATCTTCAGGTACCTCAACGGAATCTAAACATAATAATTTTTATAACTGTGTTTCAGGAAAAATATGAATATAAATTCATGCAGTTTTTAGACAACATGCTTTCATGAAAAATTATCGGTCATTTTGATGCACTTGGGCAACTACTTCCGGTAATACAATAATTTAAAGTCAGTTTTGTTGCTATTCATTAAAACATTCAAAATTCAAAAAATAGCACCAAATTTCCAACAAAATTGTTACTTATGCTTACAATCCTTTTTAGGTCAATGCGTACTTGAGCTACGGCTACAAACAAAACAAGTGGCAAACCAATTAAAACTAAGGTATCATTAGACCCTTGTGTGATTTAATAACCTCACAAAAGGTGATGAAACTAGTGCCACCGGCTTCAAAAACGGTAATTTACGAAATCACACACTGGAACCACCGACAGCTTATTACATTAATCAAATAATTAAAGTTTCGGTATTTCTTAATAACGGTTAATGATAGCCATTGTTTTTTTTCCTCCTTTACTATACGCGATATGTAAATATTTGAGCCATTGTACGAGATACGATTTTATAGTGGTTTTATCTCAAATCGGGCCGAGTGTGATTAATTTATTTTGCCATTCAAACGTCATGTCAGCTCTTTTTAACAAACGGTTTATTTGGTAGGTCTTTCTCCGCAGTTCGTTAAGACTTGGTTGATGGATATTCAATTAAATCACTTACCCTCTAGGAATAGCCTTTTCATTCTGGTGAAACTGGGCATTGCTACGAATCTAGAACAAAAGAGAAATACGGTTAAGGCGGGTTAAGCGCATATACAAGGTGATTCAAAATTTAAACACTTTTAATGCTTGCTAAAAATCAGTTAGATGTATAGCTTCGTTCAGAACCTCGCAATTACTGGAATAAATTAGTGGTTTCAATTACACTATATATTTTTTAGTTTACAATCATTCACAATGTCTAAAAAACACAATTAAAATTAATAGAATATCCTAGCAACAGCTTGCGTTAGTTAGTTGTATCCAGGGGGGTGACAGTAAACCGGAAAATTGGAAACAGTTGTGGCGCGGTCCTACCCAGGCAGAAAGCATGGCCTTCTAGACTGTCCTAGACAAAAATCTGAATATTTCTATATGATTTCTGTCAATTTCTCTTACGGAACATTTTTATGCACGTCGGCGTCCTCTTCTTTTGTCTGTGTGTCAGCCATGTGTCAACTCCCGAGGCCTCTGGCAAGGTCGGGCGCCATTTTAATTTTTGCCGTTTTAGATTTGATTGGAAGTTTGTTTATGATATTTCGGCTGAAATTTATAAGTACAAAGATGTTTTTTTATATAAAGTTCCTTGTTAACACTTTAATAAAGTATATATGGTATTAATTCCATGAAGAAAATGATGAAATCGACGTTTCTGCGTGTAGTAGGTATGGGCCATATTATATGTAAAAATAGGTAAAATATTAACTGTTTTTATATTTTTTTAGCTTTAGATCCAAGGATCTTGGGATATTCTTTACCAAGGATTTTTCCGTATCTCTACTTTAAAAACTGATCGGTGATTTTGAGCAATTGAAAGCAAGTTACACAAGGTAAATTATGATTATTGAACTATTATTAGCCTACATTAATTATCTACAAGATGAACAGAAATGCGTAATTACATATCACATAGGTACCTATTATGTATTTTCAGAGCAATAATGCTATGTATGTAGATTATTTTTTTTTGTAGATTATTTTTAAAATACAAATGAGGTATTAGATGTATATGTATCATATTTTTTATTCATTTTATTTCCATTCAAGTCCTGTTTGATTTAATTCACAAAAGCCTTATGTACCTAGATTTATGTTTTTTACATATTTTTTTTTTTTTGATTCCAGGTTTTGCGTGGGTTCCTGTTGTCTTTTTCCTGCTTCCAGTTAGTTTTACGCCCGTGAAGCTGTGAAAACATTTATTTATCTTCAAGTTTCTGTAAGTCAGTGCACTGTTACTTTACTAATTCACTTTAACACAGCATCTCTGATGTTATTTAAATATTTTGATATTGATACAGTAGTTTATGTGTTTATAGCTCTTTAATTGTGTTGATTTGCATATTTACATTGTTCTAAATTCCAAATAAATATTTTTGAGTAATTTTGTTGTATTATTAACTACTAGAAAGAGTAAAAAGTATATTAACCCTCATTTAAACCTCCTGAACAGCCCGCCATTAAAAACCGGAAACGGAAATAAATTTTACAAAATTGAAATGGGACATATGTCTATGTCATATGTCCCAGCCGCCATATCTGAAAATTAGTTACCCAGGCAGCCACGCTGTTTCCATAATTTAACATTGACTTGACACTTCTTCTTGTATTTATTATTTTATGGTTGTATCCATAGAAAATGTCTAATAGTACAAGAGCTAGCAACGTCGGAAAAACAAGTATTTTAAGACGTCTGGCTCTCTGATATACAGGGTGGCGCACCTCATTCGCCTCGGTTGATTATACGAAAACGAAAAGATGAAGAAACAAAATATTTTATGGGTATATGTGGGAAGGCAATGTGCACAATTTAAAATTATTTTGAAATATACAGGGTGTCTCAGAACTAAGATCCATACCAAAGTTATATATTTTCTTATGGAACACCCGGTATTTTATTTCATTTTTGGATTCTTGGGTCCAAAAAAAGGCATTTATTATAAGGGTTAAATATGCTTAAAATCACTGGTTTTTGAGATATTTAAAGATATTTAAATATGCATGCTACAAGAGAATTGATTATCAACACCCTCTACATTACTTTTCAGAATTAATTCTTGTGCTGAGTTTAAAGGTAAAGAAATAAACTTTACTGAAAAATGTTATTGTTTTCTTAAATTTATACAGGGGTACCAAAAACAAGTGATCTATTTTAAGGACTTATTTTACATAAAAACTTTGTTTTTTCAAATGCAACACCCTGTATTTTTTTAAATAAATCGAAGCAGATTCAAATGCTCTTTCAAACTATATTAGGGTTGGCTATACCTATCTATCTCAGATTTTGAATAAAAAGCGATTTTTAAATAAAATGGCAATCAAGATGGCTGGTATCGCCAATTTTCTACTGACAGTTACAATTTTCAAAATCGATATTAGTGTATGTACATTATTATTTAAACAGTTTACTAAAATTTACCCACAATAGTTTAATAAGTAAGTATTTGCTATTTTATGAAGAAAAATAAAGCCATATGTGCTGGTGGAACGAATGGATAGATATGTTACAAGTGATTTTATTTTGTGAGGAAAATTATTTCTTCGCCTCAAGAGCTAACGCTCAAAGATATCCAGATAGGAATCTTCCTGATAAGCGTTCTTTTGAAAAACTACTTGTCCTCTTTGCTATTTCGCAGAATTGGTAGTGTCGTTTATAAAAAACCTATTAGGCAGAAACCTGTCGTTGGAAGTGAAGAAATTGAATTTACCGTAATTGGCTCTTTTATAAAAAATTCATATATCGACAAGTTATCGTAAAATAAAACAAAGAACTACTTCTTCTTTTTCCTTGATAGAAATAATAAATAAATACATATTAAATAAATATTATTTATTTAACTATTGTAGGTCAATTAAATAAAAGTAAACTGGTATAGATTCAAATAAAGTCTATAAACTAATGTCGATTTTGAAAATAGTTACTAACTGTCACTAGAAAATTGTCATGGCGATACCAGCCATCTTGATTGCCATTTTATTTAAAAATCGCTTTTTATTCAAAATCTGTGCCATATAGGTATAGGAAACCCTAATATAGTTTGAAAGAGCATTTAAATTTGCTTCGATTTATTTAAAAAATACAGTGTGTTGCATTTTAAATAACAAAGTTTTAATGTAAAATAAATCCTTAAAATAGATCACTAATTTTTGGTACCCCTGTATAAATTTAAGGAAGTAATAACATTTTTCAGTAAAGTTTATTTCTTTGCCTTTAAACTCAGCACAAGAATTAATTCTGAAAAGTAATGTACAGGGTATTGATAATGAATTCTCTTGTAACATGCATATTTAAATATCTTCATATATCAAAAACCAATGATTTTAAATATATTTAACCCTTATAATAAATGTCTTTTTTTGGGCCCAAGAATCCAAAAATGAAATTAAATACTGGGTGTTCCATAAGAAAAAATATAACTTTGGTATGGAACTCAGTTCTGAGACACCCTGTATATTTCAAAATAATTTTAAATTGTGTGCATTGACTCCCCACATATACCCATAAAATATTTTGTTTCTACATCTTTCCATTTTCGTATAATCAACCGAGGCGAATGAGGTGCGCCACCCTGTACATTTTACTATGCTCTCTAGAACAGCATGCGGCCCGTCTGGCTGCCGGTAAACGTTGCGTTCTCTACTGCGCATTGAAAGGAGATCCTATATTTTTATTAGTACTTTAAATTCTAATATTGAATATTAAACGATCATGTCTCCATAGCGCAGTGCGTAGAGTTTCCGACCACGAACCGATGAATCAGAGTTCGAATCCGGGTCAGGGCAAAGACTTTTTTATTTTATTTTCGTTTATATTCTGATAGTAAAATATTAAATATTTGTTTTTTTAATTACCAAAATTATTTAGTACTTTACTATCAGAATATAAACGAAAATAAAATAAAAAAAGTCTTTGCCCTGACCCAGATTCGAACTCTGAATCATCGGTTCGTGGTCGGTAACTCTACGCACTGCGCTATGGAGACATATTCGATTTATATTCAATACTAGAATTTATAGGACTAAATTAATAAAAAATATAGGATCTTCTTTCGATGCGCAGTAGCGAACGCAACGGGGGGCCGTATGCTGTTCCAGAGAGCATAGTAAAATATAAATCAAAGAGCCAGACGTCTTAAAATACTCTCTCGAAAACGTTGCTCTTAGACTAGTACATATTGCTACAATTTTACTAAAAGAACGAAAACTGTTATTAATCAAAAGACTAATAATATATGTATATCTGACAGTACACTGTATGTACATTGTACATTATATTTCTTAACAATGAAAGGATTAATTAAATGTAAATGGTGCAACCAGCCAGATAATAAATTATAACTAATTGTTACGTTTCGAAAATAGATCGTTATACATATGTCTATTCAATTTCAGTCGGTAGTAAATATGGAACAAGACTTAACGTTTTGTAGTCCAACGGGTACTGTTGACAGAAAATAATAAATTGTTTTCGCCATCTAATAATTGACTTGACGTTATCTCGATAGTAAATTAATACAGGGTAGTTTAAAACAGTTTGCAGTTTTGACCTCCAAAATAAACAACGGGTTTAAAATTTATTAAGAATAATTTCTCTTGTTAAAAAAGTGGTAAAAATGGTTCTAGATATAAACACAAAAAACAAACTCTCTAAATAAGACATCTTTATCGAATTTTTACAGTATGTTCCCGGATTCCGTTACAAGAGGAAAATATTTTCATTATTGACATTTTGAGAAAAATGAATTCTTCATAAAAAATATGCCTGTTCTAAAATGGTTAATCCCGTTTATACTTTCCTAAATTTCTATTCCGATTTAGAGAAAATTAAAAAAAAACATGAAAATATAGTTGAATTGAAGTCCTAAAAATCAAAAGGCGTTTCTATGGTAATATCATTTGGATTTCAATCTTTGATAGATGGTTATTCCTTCCTCCTAGTAAAAGTTCCTGTCAAATTGCAACCTAGGTGTCATATAACCTGATGGTTCAGCATTGATATCCTTCGGTATTCTTCC